ATTAACTATTTTAGCACCCAATTCCCTTAGGCAAGTTCGGTCCTTTCGCCTAGTCGCGTAGACGAGTTACAAATATTTGGCGCACACGTGAAAAAATGTGAGTTTATTCATCTTTAATGGTTATTTATTATTAGAACGCGAATGTTGACTAACTCTTTTACGTGCTATCGAATTACGCACATATTTATACATCTCTTCGCTATTCATACTATTCTAGAAATTCCCACCTAAATTTCCTCGCGTTCGCGAAAATAGGATGACGTAACGCGATACATCTGCACAACATTTACTTATGCCGCGAAACATTCTACGGTGTTTTTTTTTATATTGTTTCGTGAAATTATTCTTTAAGAATTTTATCGAAGTGATCTTATTACGAATTAAAATAAACATAATAATACGACTTTTAAGAATAATATCGATTTTCTGCAGACTATAAATAAAAAGTTGTCTATTATATATTCAAACCTCTAGTTTTAGTTAATAACGTTTACCGGAAATTGTCAGAACCTTTACTTCGCTCTTCTGGTGCAGACTGGAAATATCAACCTCATCCATCTTTGAAACACATTTTGCGAAGGGTGCTTAAAAATCATTACACAAATTTTCTTTCAGGGTATTTTGATAAAATGATGATTCCACTATACCTCTTCCTTTCTGGAGCTGGCGCCGGAAAATCTCGAAACGCTAATGAATTTCACCAGATGGCAATCACTTGTTTATCAGAGCCAGAAGATACGGAGCTGTTGACCAAGATCAAAGAAGTTTGGGTATTCCATGTCAGTTATGAAAATGGCACCACCTTTACGATCGGAAAAATCCTCCCCTTATCTTGCCGTTGGTACTCGAATGATACCTCAACTTCTTAGAGAGAAAATGGGGCTTTATAAAATTATCCAAACATATGGGCCAGGAGATTCGGAGGATGTTTTGACATTGGTTGCCAAATACCACAATCGAGACTTAAAAGACATTACGGTTATTTTGGTTGTTGACGGCATGCAACAGCTTATGAACAACAAAGATGATTGTTTAAAGTCAGATTCTCTGTTTTACCAGACTCTGTCAAGTATTGCAGACCTTGCATTTAAGGGCATTTTCGTGATACCCGTTTGTACTTCAACAATAACAGGCCCTATTGAGGGTACATTGAAATACTCGCATCGCAAACGTGTATACTTACCCGTCGCTTTTCTGGAACCGCCAAACTATCACCAAGATCATAGATTGGTTCCAGTCTTTAAAGATGATGATATTACTAAGACTCTTGTGGAGGGCATGGAAGGGCTCTAGAAGCGCTGAATGACTGCTTAGCCGGTCGTAATATTGAAGAGTGTAACCTCAATACTTTGATGACTGATCTGCGTCTTAAGCTTACTGAAAGATATCGTGATGCTATTTTTGGTTCCATCCACGATGCCAGGCCCGTTGCACGAGCAATATTGACTCGGAGTCTCTTTAGATTTATATAAAAATGTTCCTAAAGCCAACAAAACATCGGACCAATTTTCTGCGAGTGGATTGATTCGATTCGAATAAATAAATAAGGATAGTCCAATGGGATACCTCACTGCACCGTACATCTGGCTCTGGATATTTGTAGAGGTATCTAATAACCAACAGATCCAATACTTCGAAATTGGCAACTTGCTGATTATGGAGAACAAAGAGCGCTTATTGATCCTATGTCGTCATTGCAAGCAAAGTCATGGCAGAGTTTTGAAAAATTTGTCGCGTCATCTCGTTGCGTAAAGTCGGATGTGATTGAAGAAGATGAACTAACAACGATCTCGGAGGTTCACGCAGGAGCACGTTTAAATGGCGACATCCAATTTAAAAATCACAATCTGTAACTTGCGATTGCTGGAAAGCAAACAGATACAAAATCTAAAAATTTCATTGCAAGAGAATGGAATGCTGATTGCTATCATTTTACCATTGATGTCCGAAGATTTAAACATTGTATTATTAACACTCCATCTTCTCCATCCGGGGATGCCTTCCTTTCATTAGATCAGCCGGGTCCGAGAGTCCAAACGAAATTCACCAATACAAACAGAGACAAAAATCGATCAGTCAAGTGACATACGAAGAAGAACGTAAAAAATTTGCATTGGAAAATGATTTCTTCATCATCTATACGACTGCAGAAAATTGCAATATCGAACTTCCGAAACGCTCTGGGATTGTAGATGGAAAAAAAAAGTTTTTAGGGAATATTTTGGACCATTTGCAGGCAGAGCATACAAGTCCATTATGGCAAAGTCCATGCCCCCTATCCGCGATAAAGTCAAGAATATCCATGCCACTTCTCACGGGAATCTTTACAGAGTGAATTACAATTAACAAAGAACGAGCAAAAACGATCATATTGATAAGACCATTTGAAAATATCGCGGTCGCAAATGTAAAACCAAAAGTACCAATAGGTTTTTATCTCCATCGATTCATTTAATTAAATAAGTAAGTCAAAAAATATCAACATTTCTTCATGATTTCTCGTTGGCAAATCGATCGGCGTTCCATTTCTATATTAATCAATGGAAAACACTAGATTCGTTTACAAGAATTAAATCCTCAACTCATTGCTACAATTGTTGAGCTTAGAAAGGAGAATGTTGACATTAAGGTTGATAATACAAAATTAAAACAAGACAAAGAAACAAATCAAGGTCAAACTTGTAAAACTAGAGCAAAGTGCTAAAGAGAATGTCGATCTTTTGAAGTAGTTGAAATTAAGAGAAAATCAAATAACAAACCCGAGTTAATGCTAATTAACAGGATGCATCTCTTATTGAAGATATTTTACAGTCCTCAGCTTGTTCAAAATCATCAATAACTTTTAAGGCCTAAAGAGGCACTAGAGAGACATTCTCCATTTTACTGCCTATCAAAGATTATTCTGATAAGAAAAATATAGTATTAGTATTAACCTAAACAACTAAAAACTGAGTCTATATTATTAGGAGATAACGAGATTAATGAAAGTATAAAGAAAAGATTAGAATGAGATAATTCAAAGCATTAATGAGAAAAAACTTTGAAAACAAGGTTTATCTTTTATTAAGAGAGGTGATACTTAAGATATATATTCTTCAACTTCGATATTTGAAAACTTAAAAGATCTAAAATCTTAGCCAGGAAATCATTGCTAAAAAAAATAGTCATAAAAAAAGAGACAGGTAATTAACTATACTAGTTTTATAGCTAATTATTGATTTTGATATTTTTAACATTAATTTTTTTATTTATTTATAATTATAATTATTGTATTATCAGAAAAATATATTTTACAAAAAATATATCAATTACTTATTTACAATAGCAGTTATGAATATTTGTAGTACTTTAAAAATTCAATTATCTTAAAAAAATTGAAAAATAATTTGCAGAAGCATCTGCGGGTTCACTCAATGGGACGGTTAATGGCCCTTAGGTTTGTTGAGCAAAGCCGGTGGATTGAACTTGCTTATTACAATTTTCAATTCTTTGATTTTTTTAAAAATTTTTATAAGAATCAAATATGAAAGATTGTTTTTTAATTTTTTTTAATTTGAAAATTTTTAATAAGTTATAAAATCAATAATTTATATAATCAAAAATTTTTAAAAATTATATGTTAAAATCTAGATTCTTTTATATTATTAATAAAAAATTTTGATATATTTTGATAACAATTATTAAAAAATTAACTTTTAATTAATAATCCATTAATGATTAAAATCAATTATTTATAATTATAAATAAAAAATTGGGTTAGATATGTTATCAAAATATTTATTATATAAATTGATATATATATATATATATATTTTTTTAAGGCTAAGTTGCGATACACGTATGGATTTATTGATATTTCAATTACAATCACAATTACCTATACATGAATGGTCTACTAGCTATTGCTAATGTTAATCCACGCAACCCATCCTTTTTACCAGAATACTAACTAACACCTTGAAGGTGGGTCCATACCCTGGCTTTTATCGCTATGTGATAGTTCTATAACTGCCTAAGTAAGTACCTATCACGTTATGCCTCCATCGTGCACATGCTGCATTTGATTACTGGAACCTTCGACGCAAGTAACACTCCCTAGTGAATACTCCGGTTTTACTGCTGGTTGGCACTGACTGCCAAATCTAGGAGTCAATAAATTGATATATTAAATAACAAGATACTTAATTTTATAATATAATATCAAATAACTTTGATTTCATTATTAATTTTAGTCAAAAATGAATTTGATTATTTGAAAAAAGACAAATAATTTTAAAATTTATTATTATAAATATATTTCTACAAAAAGTATAAAAAAAAATTTATTAGAATTATTTGATTTAAATAATTCAATAATTATAAAAATAATAAAAAAATAAATTAAAATATTATTTTGCAATTTTTAATAATCAAATTATAATATTATATTATTAATTTATAAAAAAATCTTAAATGAAATATTATAACTTTAAGTTTTAAATAATATCAATTTTTATTGATTAATTAAATCAAAAAATATCATTATTAAAGTTTAAATAATATTAATATATATTTTTTATCAAATTATATATTTTTAAATAATAAATTTTTCATTTGAAAAAGAATAATAAAAAATATATAATATATACTGTAAATATAATACTTTTTTAAAAAAAAATCCTAGATATTTTAAATTAAATATAGAGAACCCTCCCTAAATGCACCCCCTTGGAACCCAAGAGCAAGTATGTATTTAGAGAAGGTGTGCATTTAAAGAAAAAAAAATTTTTTTTTTAATTCCGATTAATTTTGCCCAACATTATATTAATTCTGGTCAGTTATTTTAATTTTGCCTAGTTTTATATTAATTCCGGTCAGTTATCTTAATTTTGTTCAGTTTTATATTAATTCTGGCTAATCATCTTAATTTTGCCTGGCTTTATGTTAATTCTGGTCAATTATTTTAATTTTATCTGGCTTTATG